GATCACAGTAGCTACATTACAAGATTCATCTCATATGAGAAATGCATGCATATATTTAGCGTGTGTGTGTCAGTGCTCACTACACATCCAGGATTATTATTAGGGTTTAAGTATTCTGCAGTTTGGCTCAAAGACGAGATGAGTTCATTGTAGTAGGTTAATTAATAAAATATTGAAATAGCTCAAAGATGGTGGAAGACATGAGGCAGCTGCTCCTCTGCTGTTATAAAAAAAAAAACCTTCAGGCTTTATAAATCTTTATCTCTCAGTTTTATCAGCTTAAATTAACTTCAAATTGCAGCAAACCTCTGCTTACAGCCCCTGACTCCCAACTCTGTCTGTTTGGTTTCCTGCTTCTCCTTCCAGAGCGATCACTAATGAAACCTGCTTGTTCAGAGTAACTTTGCTCACAGCCAAGTGAAGTACTGAAGCAGGAAACTGAACAAAGATTGCTGGTGAGGGATTCAGCCCCTAAATTTCATCTAAGCACCCCTAAAAAATAATACAATAATTTATAGGGACAAGTTCAATCGAAAACCTTTTGCACTGGTTTCCTATGTTTTGTCGGGGCTGAACTCAGCCAGGTTTGTGAGACACGTTCAACAGAGGAGGGGGCGAAAGAACTCGTTCCCCAGTTTTCCTTTTACTTTACTTTAGCTCGTTGGTTGACAGCGCAGCTGACCTGCCGCCCTGTCGGGCATTCAGGCCAAGGATGGTGCGTTCAGTAACTCAGTACCGCGGCGTTTCTTGTAATAATGTTCTGGAAGTATTAATCAGCTAGGTGGGAAAATGAGTAAATGTAAAGTGAGAAAATTAATATTAGTACAGATCCTGCCCAAAACGGCTAACAGTAGACGTAGCTATGAAAGTAGTTTTAATTTAATGTTATATTATATTAATGTGATACATTTATAGGCTACTCCACAGATTCTGTACAAGCAAAACAAGAAGATTTAACTGAAAACACAAAACTGAACACTTTTAGAGAAACATTTTTAAAACCCTCCCTCCTCTGATGGAGTCTACAGCTCCACACTGCTGTCTGACCCTAACTGGTCCACTGACCCCATGGGTGTCATTTACACTGGGGACGCTGGGGACATGTCCCCACCACATTTTGAAAGCATTTGTTAAAAAAAAGTCTGAAAAATAACTTGCACCAAGAAATGTTAACTAACAAATTAAAATGGTTTGAGAAAGGTTTATTTGCACAATAAGAAAACCCGCAATGCAATACATTTTTCCCTTGTATAAAAAAATACATAAAATGTCTCCAGAATGCAGGAAAATATCAGCTTAATGATGCTCAAAATCGTCTTGTCTTCTGCATTGTCACGTCTCGTGACCCAAAAGTGTCATCACCCCTCTAATCTGAGCCCTTCTGTCCCAACCACTTTTCAACACAAAGTGACCTTCTTGACTCACCTACTCCGCTCTCCGCTCCATCTTTCACTTATAAAAAGAGACACAAAGTCAGTTCAACAGAAACAACTTGACAGCAACAAAAAACACACAAACAGGAAATAAAGCTGACAAACAGCTTAAAACCAGGTTTTTAGTTACATTCAGTGCTGTCAATGAACAAAGAAATGGCAAATTAAATAAAGTAGATACCCACTGACTAAACATGTTTAATGTTTTTGCCGACACTGCAGCTCTGTGCAGGAAGTCCATGAAGATGCTGATGTGCTGCCACCTGCTGGCTGCTTCTTGTCACTGCAGACACTCGACAGTCTTCAGGAGGAGTCATTTCAACAATGTAAAGTTTTCATACTAAAAGTAAGGCTGTTAATATGTGTGTGTTCACACCTTTATTTATACAGAGAATCAGACCAGGGTCTCTTTTACAACTCATTATTCAGATATTATTAAAGAGATATAAATATATAATACAATAAAATAAACAATTATATTCACAGCATTATATTCACAGGCAGGTTTTTGCAGCTCACAATGAACCTGAGAAATCTCTAACTAACTGCTGACTTTCCAATTTATTTTAGAGGTTACATAGCTGAAAGGTTTTTGCATTTAAAGCCTTACGGACGATTAATAACCAGTGCCTGGTCCTCCTGGTGACCAAAGAATCTCACCCCACTAGCAAGTACGGTACACAATGGTGTGTCGAGACCTCAGCACTGCAGCTGAAGCGTGCATTTACAGTAAATCACCCAAAAATAAGCTTCTACAATGTTATTTATATGCTGGTAAGAAAGGCATGATTTGTTTCTATAAAATAAACCAAGTTTAACTCTTCGCTTCCTCACCAAGACAGTAAGATGTGTTTTTTAAAGTAAGGTGTTCATCCAACCAAATACCAAGGTACTGTATTTGTACGTTCTATAACAGAACCATCCAGGGTAACAATTTTAAGCTCATCCAAATGTTGTTTTCCGGACTACAGTATTTATTTAGTTTTAGTTGAATTTAATGTAAACGTCAGCAAAGTAGTGAGGGGTTGTAGCAAAATGACTGTTATCAGCATAAAGATGATATTTACAGTTCCTCACAGTGTTACAAATATTTATGATTGTGAAAAAACGGGGAACCGAGATTGATCCTTGAGGAACTCAATATAGGAATATTTGGCTCTGCACCATCTATTACAATGGCCTGGGATCTGTCACTCAGATCATTTTGAAGCCATGCACAGGTCAGACCCAGTGAAAACAATTTTCTCCGCAAAACTGAATTCAAAGGCTTTTGACAAGTCAATAAAAAGAGCTGCACAATAAGATATTTCATAAAGTGCTTTGATAATATCTTGACAAGTAGCATAGTTGCTGTAGTGGTACTGCGTCCAGGTCTGAAGCCAGATTGATATTTACTCAGGATGTTCCTTTCAGCTGTGAATTTACCAGAGACTCCAATATTGTAGCCAAACAGGAAACTTTTAATTTGTGAATTGACAACACACAGGCAACTTTCCATACTCTGGGAATAATCCCCGTTGTTAATGTCATTGGAGCAGCACTAACCAGCAGACCCGGCTCCAGCGATCCACCCCTGTTGCTTGTTTTGTATTAGTGGCACACAGAGCAGGTAGTAAGGGTTTCAGTGCAAAACCTTTAGTATCAACAACGGCTTTATCCTCACTTAGATACACTGTAAGTAACCGCAGATTTCCTTTCATTTAAAGACCCAGCTGCATAAAATACAGATTGAACTGTATCAGTAACTGGCCCCGTATCTGATACTATCTCTTTTGGTAATAGGTTGAAGAAACTTCTCTGCTCTCATTTCTCTCTCTCTTATGATATGTTGCTTATGACTCTCTTCTGTTTCCTGATCCTCTCTCTGGTCTCTGCATCTGCAGCTGCGTCGCTAAATATGCTCATACACGCACATCAAGCTGAGTCATCTGAGGTGAATGTTGTAATGTCAAGAAACTAAATGGTCTGTACTTGTGTATCGCCTTTTAGTCTTTTCAGTCACTCAAAGCTCTTTACACTGCATCACATTCACATCCCAAAGACACTTCAACATGCAGACTGGGGGAGCAGGGGATCAAACCATCGACCTTCTCATGAGTACACGAAGTGTAAGAAGTTTGATTGCAATGAGAAAATGAGCCTCCTTCTCACCTGATATATCACCTCAGTAAAAACTTCCTTTATGAGTATACGATCTTAATCACAAGTTTCAAGTGTTTTTCAACGTAACATGATGTTTATTAAGTAAATTGTGGTCCAATTTAGAGGAAAATACATCAGGGTATGCTTTAGGGTGGGACGACCTTGTGATTGACAAGTTGCTACACAGCGACCTGTTAGGCATAAAAATGTGTATCCTTCCCCAGCTCCACTCTCACGTCCAAATATGGTCACTTCTGGTTCCAAACAACCAAGATGGCGACGGCCAAAATGCCAAACTTGACGCTTCAAAACGGCAGCCTACAAACCAGTGGGTGATGTCAGGGTGGCTTATACAGTCCACATTGAGAGAGTTTACAGCTTGTGTTCATGCCGTAGCCTTGCGGTCCTTAGTCAGTGTAATATTGCTCTGATATTCACCATATTTGACACACAAATTGTTCTTATCGCATATTTCACATTGGCTTTAATTACTATGATTGTTAGCACAGGTGGGGGACTCGAGTCACATGACTTGACTCGAGTCAGACTCGAGTCGCACATTTGAAGACTCGAGACTTGCTTGACTAAAACAGACAAAAGACTCGACTTCACTTTGACTTGGTATTCATGATTTGAGACTTGACTTAGACTACAGACAGGTGACTTGAAAATTACTTTTACTACTTTTTTTATTTAAATATTTGCATTTCAACGTTTGTGGCAACCATGTGTGCTTTCATATAGTGATCCAGATCCTCGTAACCAGCAGCGTAGAAAAAGACTGTTACATGTAGTACAACACAGACATTCAAGGCTTATGTTGTGTTGACGGTCCACCAGTGGGCAGTGTAGTTTTTGCCACTAGGCAAACTGACCCCTGTAAGGCTGTAAATAAACCTTTATATACAGTCTATGGTCCTAGTACCCACTACCATTTTAATATTGTACTTACAGTTGGTTTACTAACATACCATAATATCCTAATCCTGATTACTCACCTAAGCTACGGAAACCCTGCTGTTGACAGAGATAGCCAGGGCCAGGAAGTCAGTGCCCCTTCAAAGGCCATAAGCAGAGGCCTTAGACCGCTTCTTCCATTACATTTACTTATTGTACTCAAAGGCTCAGAACTTCTTCCACATTTTTATTGTCAGCCAAAATAGACACCACTTAGAGTACAAAGGTTTCATCAGAGAGAAGCTAGAGTCCATTCTGTCACCAGAAGTTGACCTGCCGGCATGTAATAACTTCTTCAGCACCTCCTTTTACAGCTCTGTTTCTAAGCATGACTAATCTCTTGGCAGTTTTTCTTGCTGGAGTCAGCAGTTTTCTCTGCCAGTTACTTGCATCTACCGTAAAAGCCAAGTATTGTAGATTCACTATGCAGCTGGTCCGCAGAGCCAAGACGGCTGCCTGACTGTACACTGCTCAACCCTACATGTCTGGGCATGCAAATGATTGCATCTCAGCCACATGTGGTGTGTTCCAACACTCTCTCTGTAACCGCCATTTTGCTTCCTCTAAGCTGTCAAACTGTCGGGACTCTGGTGTTTCCACATCAGGAAACCTCACATCACTTGAACTCTCTTTGCTGAGGCCCCTGGAAATCTGAGCTGAACTGAAGATCACGACATCAAAGCGCCTGAGAAGTGTGGAAGTACTTTGGATTCAACAAGAAGAGGTGAGACAATTTGTTATCTTTGTTTCAATGTCGCTGTTAACAGGCTGCTGGAGATGAGTTGTGTCTCTGGAGAGAGTTTGAGGGCACAAAACAGAAAGTTTACAGCAGCTGAAATATTTACACCCTGTTAGATTTAATCACACATTACTCTCAGCAGGAACAGAGGTTTGCTTTATGTGTTGTTAAAATTGTATTTTGCTATTGTATGTATTATTATACTATATTATATACTGAACTTAGTCTGAAAATAATAAAAGAACCTATAAAATACCATTTTCCACTTTAATCTCCTCATAAAATATTAAACTGAAATAAATAGTTTTGACATAATTGTCAAGAAAAGTATCAGTTGTCATTAAATTGAAAGACATCATTCAACCTTCACATTTCAATAAAAACACGTTTGTTTTTTAAATTTAACTTTGCTGTGTTTGGATAGAAGTTATTTTACAGAGTTTTGACATGATGAGAGAGTTTTCATGAAACTATGTCTTGTTGAGGAAGTGACTCTAAAAAGGTCAGTTTCTTCTCCTGCAGCTGCTCTGACTTTTACTTCCACCATCGTCTTCCACTGTTACAGCCTGATCTCTGTCAGAGCAGCGATACATAAAGGCTACCTTCCCATCCACACATCACATATAACATTAACAACATCAGAGTTTGATCGCACATTTGATCATCTTAAAAAACGTATGAATACTAAAAAACACTGTACACCATGGTTTTTATATTCCAGCTGCATGTCACGCCTCATTTAAACGTCACGGTTGCCAAAAAGACTTTTGTCACTTATAGCTCCTCCAACAAGCCTCCTCGATGCTTGCTCCTCGTGCTGCATTTTATGAATTGAGATGTCCTTCAATATGGCGCTCTTAGATCAATTTCTGTGTCACAGGCGGAGGATTGAGTAGGCGAGGAGGCAGGTAGTGAAATAAGAAGACATTTTGTGCTGTGCAGCTGAACAATGGCGACAGAAACTGGAGCGTGGAAAAGTCTTGCAGCTTCTAATTACAGATATCAGCATTAAAACTCTAAAGTTGGTCTGTAATACTATACTGCTGGAGTATTTGTTGTTGTTATTTTATCTGAAACACAATACATTTCAATTTCAAATCTTCTAACACATAAAATAACATGCTTTTCTCAGCTGTAATGTGTAATAAACAGCATGGCTGTTCGTTGTTTCCTGTCTCATCATGTCTCTGTTTGTTCACAGCTCTGTGGTGAAACAAGACACTTCTCGTGAGAAGAGGAACAGCAGCGACCATTTTGTCTGAATTCAGGGCGGCTGTCTGAGAAAGAAGCATGAGTTCTCCAAAAAAGGTTAAATCACTCATACAGAAATGGCTTTAAAGACTTATTTATTTATTTTATCCTTTCAGACTGATGTATTCTTTACTTTGCACTTTTTACATTTTGATTTATTTTTCTTTCATTGATTAGTGTAGAAATATAACATATATGCATAGCAGTTGATACAGATTATCCAACATTAAAAAGGTGATTGCTCCCTCTGCAGTACAAAGTATATTATGGGCACTTGAGGGGCTGATGCCAGAGCAACAGGAGAAAATAGCTGACCTAAAAAAATAATAATAAGAGTAACCAAAAGTACATGAGCAACATCATACTGATGACCTACACATCTATACATTTAAACCCCTTAAAGGAACAACAAACCCCCTGAAAGGCTTTAGTTCTCAAGATGCCTGAGGTAGAACAAAGCACAACATTTTCCTTTTTCTGTGTTCTGTGTTTAATACAAATCTTTATAGCTGAGATGTGTCAATAAAGCAGACACACTTCAGCAGTCTTACTCTTCTTAAATGTATGGGACACCGTAGACACACATCACTGACACAAGCCTAAATCTCATGCCATGAGCAGATTGAATCATCTCCACTCAGCTCATGCTCGATCTTGTCACATCCCTATGAATTAACAATCACTTCTTTGTTTCTTTGTATCAGATACACAGACACAGAGTGAAATGATAAGCCAAGCTCAAAACTGGTTTGGCAGCAGCAGTAATCTCCGCTAGAAAACAGCTCGTCTAATTACTCTCTCTTATATCTCTTAGATATATCAGTCTTAGCGTCAATCACGCCACTGTCACAACATGTTTTTTATCAGTACCTTCTCTTAGTATTTGTGCGGCAGCTGCTCTATTCCATAAACCAATGATGCTATGCCTCTTTTAACTGCTGCGTACAGTCAGGGCTGGACTGGGACAAAAAATTGGGTCTTGCATTTTTGGCCCAGGCGGCCCACCGTGATCGGTCAGACAGCATCAGCACATATGGTCCAGTTAAATATGTGCGCATGCCATGACGTTCCCCAAAGCAACATTAAGTAAAGTAGTACATGCTGTGGACAAGAGTAGCAATGCAAGAGAACCACTCCACTCACTCGCTCTTGATTGACACCCTCATGATCATAGATAGCAGCACATCATCAACAATGGTATTCTGAAACAGTGAAAAAGAGAGGGAGGGATGAGCAATGACAAATTATAGATGCAGTTGGAAACCGTATCTTCTTGAAAATGTAAGCAGAGTTGTATGTTTTGTAAACTCACCATGAAATGAAAAGAACGCTTGTGAACTCCATTTCAATTCACAGCAAATCTTCAAAGGAGAGAAACCTAAAAGTAAGACAATGAGTGCCAGAGATAGAGGTGAGACTGATACACAATAATCACATGATCACAGTGCTGGTGTCTTCAAACTACAACAATGTAGAGAGGTAGTTGCATGTATGGTAAATTTACTTAGTGGAAGGGGAGAGAGAAGGGCAATGGAATAATAATAATAAGTTTGGGGCCAGACCAGTTAAAAACCACAAACTTCTCTCCACTATTATAAAAATCTTTGCTAAAATAGACATACATTTGGGGTCCAAAAACTTAATGGAGTCAAAAATCAGTGCAAAAAGAGTCTTTATTCCTCTACATTACATCCTCACAGGCATCAGGATGAACTGAGTGCTCAGTCAGCAAACACCTCCTTTTATAATCCTCAATCTCCTCCCACTTAGGCGGGATTTCTACATGATCTCCTCATCTATGTTACTATGTCAATATATTTCACAAACAAATGTTTCTCTAAACTGAATCTTAGAGATTTACCAAAGTAGCTATTTGAAGTGTTGTTCTTGGCACAGAATAATCCTTATTTATTGCTGGTGGCTTTTCTAGGCAGAGGATAGCCTCAAAGGGATTTCTTGGCATAAAATGCTCATTCATCAGTTTCGTCAGTTTGCTATGTGTGCTTACAGACTACCACGTGTTCGCCTGGTGTACCTGGGTCCCCATCTCTCTCAGGCCCTTGACCTCTTAATAGTACTCTTAATAGAGTACAGACTGCTTATGATAGATGTCTTTGGCTAGAACAATGCTCAATAAGACAGCAATAACAATCAAACTATAATATAATGCTTTAGGAAAACAAAAATACACAACAATGTGATCTCAAATACTCTAATAATTGAGCAGTAAGGATAATTTAACCTGAGTATGCCCTCTTTGTATCTTCTGGTTTTGGTGCATATATATTAACTTTTACTGACTTCCCTGTTATATCTTGAGTGGTGTCCAGCTGCACCGGTAACATCCCAGCTTTCTGGAGGTCAGCAGAGATTTTTTTCTTGGATTAATGTCCAGATCGCAGAGTTGAAACAGAGTTGACCGAAGAGTGATAAGTGAACCTCTTACTCTTGTGCCTGAAACGTGTGACTGTTTTTCAGTCACATTGTTGAGACTCTTCCATGCACACGTCATACTTTCCCAGCAATATGATCAGCTCCAGAAAAATTGCCGTGGTCAATACTATCATCATCCAGGATGTATACAGCCTCACTATCCATCTGCCCGCACAACCTCCACTACTTGCTCCAAAACCTGGTGCCTCTTCTTCACCTGTTCTCGGTGAAATGCAAGCTTCTGCACTATGTGCCATGCTTTTTTCATGCTCCTTAATTCTTAGGTGCACATGCCTCCAATTTGACATTCCAGTTATGAATATACTGGATTCAGTTACCTAGCTAAAAGCCAAGAACACAAAAGAAAATAAAGTACGACACATACTACAATAAGTCAATTAGTCCTGGCTTGACTAAACAGAGAGAGAGAGACACAGAAGTGATTTCATTAGTTGTGGTATTTCCCTACCAAAGATAAGAAAAATGTACAGCTTAATTAAAACCATAGTGACAAAATGCAAACAATTGTTCTTTTTCAACAATTACTGCATGGAGCTGTTTCATGGTATTTCATGATACTGACAACTGTAGTCTCATATGGATTTCAAGTAAGCTATCCACATACAAATGATGAATACAGCAAAGGAAATAATCACTGTATTATGTAATATTCATAGTAGAATAGTTGTTAGATCTTAGTTTGTGATGTACTTGAAAATTTGAGAGAGGGTGTAGGTTTGTCCATTATCTCTCGACCGCTCAGTTTCTTCCACAGACTGTCGGAACGGCGGTGGAGGGGGAGGGCTTTTAAGAGATTTGATTGGGCCGGGCCAGTGTCAGTATATACAATGAACCAATGGGCCGCTGTCCACGCTCTACAGGCTGGTCATTGGCCCATTTTAAAAATTACATTACATTTACATTTATTCATTTAGTTGACACTTTTATTCAAAGCGACTTACAATTGCTATATATGTCAGCAACACGTTCTTAATCCCAACAGGCCACATATTGATGCTTGCTCAAGGCGCTTTGTCGTCGCTTTGTAACAACTTGGGTAGCCCATTTGCGTCAATTATTGACGTTTAGGTATCCGCGGTCAAGTTAGCGATGCTTAGCAACAACAAACATAAAACTTCTGGTAAAGTTAGCAACAATAAATGCAATTTCTGGTTAGACTTTCAAAATAAAACTCTAGCGTTTCGAAACATCGCCATTTTGAAACACGTGTTATTAAAGTCGTGAAACGTTGCAGTTTGGTTAGGTTTAAAATACTTACTAGGCAACAAAACCACTTGGTTAAGGTTAGGAAAATATCATGGTTTGGGTTTAAATAACTATGTATGTCAGTTAACACGTGAGTTAACTAACGTCACTTGTGTAATAACTTGCCAAAATAAATAAAATAAATGTTGACTTTTTGTTTCACATGGGACACGAACCCCGGTCTCCTGGCTCAAAGTTGGGGTTCTGGCCCTCCATCCACCCCAACCACCTCCTTACTCTGTCTTTTCTGTTAAATATCATATACAGGTGCTGTCATATAATTAGAATATCATCAAAAAGTTGATATATTTCAGTAATTCCATTCAAAAAGTGAAACTTGGATTATATTCATTCATTACACACAGACTGATATATTGCAAATGTTTATTTCACTTAATTGTGATGATTAAAACTGACAACTAATGAAAATCCCAAATTCAGTATCTCTGAAAATTAGAATATTACTTAAGACCAATACAAAAACAGGATTTTTAGAAATGTTGGCCGCACTCAATACTTAGTTGGGGCTCCTTTTGCCTGAATTACTGCAGCAATGCGGCGTGGCATGGAGTCGATCAGTCTGTGGCACTGCTCAAGCCCAGGTTGCTCTGATAGTGGCCTTCAGCTCTTCTGCATTGTTGAGTCTGGCGTATCGCATCTTCCTCTTCACAATACCCCATAGATTTTCTATAGGGTTAAGGTCCTTAAACCAGGTACTGGTAGCTTTGGCTCTGTGTGCAGGTGCCAAGTCCTGTTGGAAAATGAAATCTGCATCTCCATAAAGTTGGTCAGCAGCAGGAAACATGAAGTGCTCTAAAACTTCCTGGTAGACGGCTGCATTGACCTTGGACCTCAGAAAACACAGTGGACCAACACCAGCAGATGACAGGGCACCCCAAACCATCACTGACTGTGGAAACTTTACACTGGACTTCAAGCAACGTGGATTCTCTGCCTCTCCTCTCTTCCTCCAGACTCTGGGACCTTGATTTCCAAAGGAAATGCAAAATTTACTTTCATCAGAGAACATAACTTTGGACCACTCAGCAGCAGTCCAGTCCTTTTTGTCTTTAGCCCAGGCGAGACGCTTCTGACGCTGTGTCTTGTTCAAGAGTGGCTTGACACAAGGAATGCGACAGCTGAAACCCATGTCTTGCATACGTCTGTGCTTGGTGGTTCTTGAAGCACTGACTCCAGCTGCAGTCCACTCTTTGTGAATCTCCCCCACATTTTTGATTGGGTTTTGTTTCACAATCCTCTCCAATCCTCTCCCTATTGCTTGTACCCTTTTTCCTACCACATCTTTTCCTTCCCTTCGCCTCTCTATTAATGTGCTTGGACACAGAGCTCTCTGAACAGCCAGCCTCTTTAGCAATGACCTTTTGTGTCTTGCCCTCCTTGTGCAAGGTGTCAATGGTCGTCTTTTGGACAGCTGTCAAGTCAGCAGTCTTCCCCATGATTGTGTAGCCTACAGAACTAGACTGAGAGACCATTTAAAGGCCTTTGCAGGTGTTTTGAGTTAATAAGCTGATTAGAGTGCGGCACCAGTTCTCTTCAATATTGAACCTTTTCACAATATTAAAATTTTCTGAGATACTGATTTTGGGGTTTTCATTAGTTGTCAGTTATAATCATCAAAATTAAAAGGAATGAACACTTGAAATATATCAGTCTGTGTGGAATGAATGTATACATTATACAAGTTTCACTTTTTGAATGGAATTACTGAAATAAATCAACTTTTTCATGGTTAATTATATGACCAGCACCTGTACATGCCTTTACCATCAAAAACTGACGCTGCAGGGCTTCCCCCAATACGTCGAACTATGACAGAAAAGGGATTCCCAGTGCGTCAACAAACTGGCGACTACGGCTCTCGGCCATGCATCCATATGTGACGACTTGGGAATGAGAACGGGTTGATGTCAGAGGTTACACGCCTCTGGAGCAACGATGGGTTAAGTGTCTTGCTCAGGGACACATTGGTGGATGGGTCACAGTGGGAATCGAACACGGGTCTTTTCACACCAAAGGCATGTGTCTTACCCATTAATCCATCGCCACCAAATTAATTTTAGTTATGTCAGCCCCAAAGGTGTTGCTAGTCAGGAGGACAACTGGAAAGTTTGGTGTCTGTAGGGGCTACTGAAGTGGAGATTTTAGTCTTAGAGTATGAGGAAAAAATTTATTTTGAGAAATTGAAAATCAAGATTTACAGAGCCAATATAGAATCCTTAACAACAACAACAATAAACAACACCTAAAACACATCAGAACTGATAAATGAGTAACAGTATGCCTGAACAGACACAATTAAATATATATATTTTTCTGTTTTGTTCATCAATAAATCATTTCATTGTATCTGTTGATGGTGTGGTCCTTGCTAGTGAAAGTGTCCATTTGATACACGACTGCATTGACCTGTGTTAAGGATCTGGTAGCACTGCCTCAAATGTGACAACACATTTTCACCAACATGCACTATTGTACTGTTGTCAAGTGGGAAGCCATTGAAGAATGGTGTCCTGCTTCATGTAGTGGCACTCTAGCTAAGCTTGTTTTTATTAATTTAGTTATTTTGGCTAATCCTCCAGCTTCTCTTGCATGGAGAACACTGTTTTATTATTGATGATGGTAACATTTTATTTTCTGTCCACCGCTGCAACTCATTTACAATATACACTCTCTCTCTCTCTCTGTATCTTTGTCTATTCCCACAGAAACAAAGAGGCACAAACAAACTCAAATCTCACCACTGTGACCAGTGTGAGAAAGCTTTCAATTCATCGTATTTATTAAAGATTCATCAGAGACTTCACACTGGAGTGAGACCGTACAGCTGTGACCAGTGTGAGAAAACATACAAAACAGTAGGAGATCTAACAATTCACCAGAGAGTTCACACTGGAGAGAAACCGTTTCATTGTCATGAGTGTGGCAATACATTCAAATCATCAGGACGACTACAAAGTCATTGTAAAAGATATCACACTGACGAGAAACCTCACAGCTGTAAGCAGTGTGACAAAGCATTCAAGACGGCGGGAGACCTAAAGGTTCATGAGAGAGTTCACACTGGAGAGAAACCATACAGATGTGAGCAATGTGGGAAAACCTTTTCAAGGTCAGGTAACTATAGAACCCACCAACAAACCCATAGTGGAGAGAAACCCTTCAGCTGTGAGCAGTGTGGGAAAACTTTTTCTCGGTCATGTCACCTCAAGAGTCACCAAATCATTCACACTGGAGAGAAATCACACCGCTGTGATGAATGTGGAAAAACCTTCACTCGACTAGAAGGCCTAACAATCCACCAACGTATCCACACTGGAGAGAAACCGTACAACTGCAGGCACTGTGAGAAAGCTTTCATTTCTTCAACAGATCGCAGGGTACATGAACGAATCCACACTGGACTAAAACCATACAGCTGTGAGGAGTGTGGGAAGAGTTTCACTCAGCTGTCTGCTTACAACATTCATAGAAACATCCACACTAAAGAAAAAACCTACCCCTGTCAGCAATGTGGGAAAGTCTTAAAGTCATCCACTGCATATAAGTATCATGAAAGTATCCACACTGGAGAAAAACCCTATAAGTGCAAACATTGTGAGAAAACATTCCCTTCATCAAACACATGCCAAAGACACGAGCGTGTCCACACTGGAGAGAAACCATACAGCTGTGAGCCATGTGGGAAGAGTTTTAGTAGTTCATCTTCATATCACAAACACAAGCTTTTCCACGCTGGAGTCAAACCACACCAGTGTCAACACTGTGACAAAGGTTTCTATTCATCATCCAAACTCTCAGAGCATCAGCGTGTCCACACAGGATGTAAACCGTACTGGTGTGTTAAATGTAAGAAACACTTCGCCTGGACAGCTCAGCTAAAGAAACACAAGTGTGTCTAAACCCTTTTATGGGAATCTGTCTAAAGTCATTAGGGTTGTCCTGATGATGATCTGGCCCCAGTCGATTAAGCCTAGTTCACACTACATGATTTTTAGCCCGATTTGCTGGTCGGCGAGCGCGGTGACCGTCAGGCTGTGATTTGGGGTAAGTCAGCGGTCGATCGGTGGTCGGCAGTTGATATGTGCGAACCACACGACGACACAGCAAAGCGGCTCCCTGACACATCTCTGACACATCACTGACGTCTGCCAGATATCTAGCATGCCAAATATCTGGAAGAGTCGAAGACGCTGAATGTTGTGTAGTCTGCACGAGGCATTAGGTATCTGTTGTTCGATTGGTGATCAGTCAAACTAATGTTCCTGAAATGGAAATGAAAATGTATTTGTTTTTAATGTGTTCAATGTTCTGGTTTTTATTGTAAAGCGTCTGAGTAACTTGAAAAGTGCTGTAGAAATAAAATGTATAATTATTATTGTTATTATTAAAGTTAGCTTTCACCATATTAACATGTTTATGTTGCGGTGTTTGTAACGTAAAGCTGTAGTTTGAGTTGTGTGATTATATATATTTATAATTGTCACATTGTCACCACTTTAGATTATCACCTTTTGCTTTCAAACATAAAAACACTTTATCAACTTCTTAGATGTTTTACATAATTTTCTTGCAATTATCAAGTGTGTTTTTATAATGTCTAAAATCATGTATATTTACATATTAGTTTGTTGTTTATAATATTCTGTTTAAACTGTTACATAGCAACACTTTCTCACTCCCAAGCCATCACATATGGACGCATGGTCAAACCCCATTGGAGTCAGCTTGTAACACCCTGGGGAGCCGCATAGCGTTATAGTTCACACTGGGGAAAGTCCTGTAGCATCATTTACAAACACTAAAGTTAGGTGTAGGATATTTGACTAAAAAGTCAGAGTAACAAGGTGTTGTGGTGGAAGGGTGGTTCAGAAACCAGACTTTTACCCAGGATGACGGTGTTCAGTTCCTGTGTGAAACAAAAAGTCAATGTTCATTCAATTCAATGTTTTTATTGACTTTATGAAGGTTAAAAAAGATTATGCAAGTTACGGAAGTAAAGTTACGTAAAGTCACGTAATGTTGTTATTGTAACTCAAAACATGATCTTTTCCTAAACCAGTTCCTTTTGTGCCTAAATCTAACCAAATTGTGATGCTTCACAATGGTAACCTCTACTTTTATTTTGAAAATGTTTAATGTTTAATGTTGCTCACATGACTGCGGAGCCCTAAACATCCAAAAACAATGCTAAAAGGTACCCTGGGTGTTAAAAAGCAACACCAAGGGATCTTGACCAAGCATCCCTATGTGATGAGTTGGGAGTGAGAATGTGTTGAATATATCGGATATATTATTTCATTTCTTATGTTTTGTGAAATGACATTGATATATCAACATTGTCCATATAATCATTATTCACTTTCCCTGACAGCAAAATTTGGGATTTTTTTTTAATGAAAAGACTGTGTTCATAAAATTGATTACTTCATTTGTTCAGTTTTTAACCATTTTGAAGTGTTGACATGAGGTAGTTAATGATAAACTACCATATATTCAATCACATTTATGTCCACATTCTCTAACTTTCTATGTGCATTTTGAAACTATTTACGGCTGCATAAAAAAAAACATCTCTTTTATACAGATTGTCGACCCTTTGATTCAGAAAAAAAGTGATGATTTAATACCTCAAAAGCAACATTGCAACCTTTGACAGGAGAAGAAGGTTCAGATTTGTTATTCAAGTTTAGCTTGTATAATGTATTGGAGTACTTTAAAGTGTGGTACTTTTAAGTAAAGGATACTTCTTCCAACACTGGTGTTGAGCTGAAGAATGAGGTCAAGATAATACATACATAAATACAAGACAGATTTCTAAATCAGAAAATACAAAAATAACAAAAACAAGTAAATAAATGAAATGTGCAATAATAAAACAGTGACAGAAAACAAATGAACAATTTAATATAAGACCTTTTTTAAGACTAATGTGTAAGATTTGTGTTAAGGATTGGAAACCTTTAGCATCACTTTTTAACACCCTGGGTACCACTTTAGCGTCATTTTTGGACATGTAGGGCTTCATGGTCCAGTTAGAACAATAAATATACATTGTCTGGTTAGACTTTTAAAATAAAACTAGTGGTTAAAGTTGTGAAACGTCGAAATTTGGTTAAGTTTAGACACCAAAAGCACTAACATTACATGACTTAGTAAGTAACAAAAGCGGTGTAACGTGTAGGGTTGCCACCTTCAATACAGAAAAATAAGAGACGCCTGACGGAGCGGAGGCCGCACCTTTCAGTGGCCCGGCAACAACAGGCCCGATATGTGTCGTATACCATAACTTAAAACGTGTTTTCAGGAAAGTAGTGTTGTGAACTCAACCAGACGCACTTCAAAGAAGGTCAGATGGTGTCAAAAGAGGGAGGGAAGTTTCCCTCCCCGAGAGTTGACCTTTTCAAATGTTAAACCCAGAGACATCGCCTGGTGTTGGTAAGGACCGAAAGAGACTCAATCAGACAATTAATCGCTTAAGGATTGTGTATTCAAAGAGCCTTAGTGAACCTTTCTAGCCGTAAAGGTGTCACTAAAGACAGTCCACAGGACAGGAAAAGGGGCGATCTGACCCCTTCTCCCTCCAGCAGGTCACCTCCAGCCTCAACCTGACTCTTTTCTCTCCACAGAACGGCTGAGCCATAAACCACCATTTCATTCTCTGATAACCTGTGCGATAAGCCAGGAATGAAGAGAAGAGAGACCATAAAAACCCCTGTTTCTCGAACCAAGCAAGTTTCCAGTATAACTGTGTTTATTCTGTTTAAATAATAACCTTGCTAAGTGAGCAGCAGTGTTTGCCTCTGAGTTTAGTAAGTAATAACCCTGTTGTTATCCTTTAGTGATGTTTGAAGACTAGCAGACCCATAAGAAAGTAATCTTGAACTAGTTTTCTAACCTCTTTCTGTGTTGTCTTAAGTCATTCCTGTTACTCCCTAGTAATCACTGTCTATTCAGTGCTAACTAATGCTTTAGTTAAATGTTTCATATACAATTTCTTACTAAATTATCCATGGAAACGCTCGTAGGCACCACCATCCTCTCAGTTAAAGTAGAATGTCTACTCTTTTCTTGTGTGACCCGAGCGCCACCAAGGGGACAAGAAAGGTATAACACGCAAGTGTTTAAAACTCGGCTTACACTGACATAATTGTTAAGTAGGCCTAACTATCACCATGTAATTGCATAAACGAAATTTTACTGTCATGCTTACATCTAAATTGTCTCATGAGTTAAAACCAGTAACCAGCAAGTATACTGAGGACATGTAATCAAGCTTTGTTACGTTTTATATAACCATTATAACCTTTTTCCATAGTGTTTAGCCTTGTTTTAACTGCCTCTATCCGAATGTTTAGAACTAAGTATTTTTCCAAATGTCGATATTGTGGAGAGAGAGATCAAAGAGAAATACACGCAACGTATATTTCTTTATCCCAAAAAGATAACACCTTAGCGACGTTTGGGAGACCATCCCCAAAATTGACATCACTACCTAGCGGGATCAATAAAAAGGCCCTGCTGTCTTTTCTTCCAGCTTTTTGCCTCTTCAAAATTCTTCTTTTAAAAACTTTCTTGAAACTAAACGTATACGTTCTCTTAACTCCCTTTACTTTTGAAATTCCGATTTTTGTTTTGTACTTAAATCTCCTTCAGACGAGCTGAGAAAGCTACGACCCTGAATTCCAAATTTCTCAGCGGGAGATTTGATTTTCTTTATTCTGTTTGGAGCTGCCTGTTTAACCTCAGCAACATTAAATAGCCTATATTCCCGAGGCCTCGCGAACCTACGGTGAATGTGTGAGTTTATTTGATTTTGTTGTTGCAACCTCATCCGACCGTTGTGAGCAACTTTGGACCAGAAACTCAGAAGCCTTCATTTATGGCCTTGAATAAATGAAACTACGGCTCTGACGACAGAACCCTGAGTGGGCCCTATAGCGACACCAAACGAACTGAGATCAGAGCAAAAGCCTTGGCTGACAGCCCGTTGCTGCAAGCGCTTCCCACAAGAGGACTCCGGACCCAATCCACCGGTTTCAACCCAACTCGAAAACGCCACTGGGGTCGGGCCAGAACCGACTTCCCGAGCCAACCGGCAGTCGAGCCTCGCCACGGGACCTGCGGCAACAGTAGGGCAAAACAAGCAACACTCTGTGACTCGTTGGTGTTCTATGGGCTCCATCCACAGTTAATAACCCTTAGATTAGTTAAACTAAATCTGCAACCCAATTTCGGTCACTCGTTCCCTCATACTCGTAGAATTCTCTCCCTCTACAATATAAACTGAAATTCAATCGGACCTTACATTGTCATATTAACTGTTATCCCTGTAATATCACCACATTTACCCACAATTGTACCCTCTTTTGTTAGTTAATAAATTCACCTTGAGCACAGCGATGTATGTGTGTGTGTTATTCAGAATCTAGAGTCCCTATACATAGAACTTTCGCTCAGATCTGAGACTGACTGATTGACCTTACGATTTCAGAATAACAACTAATGAATTAACCGAACTTCGTATAATTCTCAGGCTATACTCAAGGACCTAAAGCCTTGGGCGGACAAGCAAATCTTTAGGTGGTGCTCCTACTTTCGAGGTATAAATTAATATTCCCGGAAATATTAATTTTCATAACTGTATTAAAATTTTACGTAGCCGAGGTCTGCTACAGTAGTAAGATTGACACTATTGGACGTTATAATAACCTACCTGCTATTGAAATCAGTGTGAACAGATGAACTCAGTCTCTCTCTATCACAACTCAACAGGCTAGTGGTCACATTGTCATAGCTGAATACACAGCTATGTCAAAAGTAAACATAAATGACGGTGAGACCACAAAAAAATAGGATGTGAACTGTATTTTTATTAACTTATTAAATCAACATGTTGATTACTTATTAACTATAAATAGTCTGAAACAAATGCTTTGATACGATTTGATTGTGTGCAGTATTGCAGTTTTAAGAGTGGCAACTCTACTGAAACGTCTCTTTTGTCTGTAACAGAAGCCCTAAGGTCCGCTAAAGCTGCAGCCCAATCCTCGGTTCTTATCCTGCTTGACCTATCAGCTGCCTTTGACACAGTCAATCACAGGATCTTGCTATCTGCTCTCTCAGCAATGGGCATCTCGATTGAAACACTCCTGTGGTTCGAAACCTACCTCTCAGGTTCCTACAATGTATTGTGGCAAGGACAATTATCCTCCTCCCACTCCCTCTCCACAGTGGTGCCCCAAGGCTCAGTGCTTGGGCCCCTTCTCTTCTCAATTTACACCACCTCACTGGGGCCGGTCATTCGCTCGCACGGCTTCTCTTACCACTGCTATGCAGACGATACTCAAGTATACCTAACTTCCCGCCAGACGACCCCACCGTCTTGGTGCGGATCACAGACTGTCTCTCGGACATATCTGCATGGATGAAGGCTTACCACCTTGAACTAAACATCTCTAAGACTGAACTCTTGGTCATTACAGTCTATCCACCATAACATCAAACTACAAATCGACTCCTCAACCATCACTCCAACCAGGGTGGTGAGAAACTTGGGTGTCATGATTGATGACCAGCTGTCCTTTTCAGACCATGTTGCTGCTGTCACTTGGTCGTGCCGCTTTGCTCTATACAACATCAGAAAAATCAGGCCCTACCTCACTCAATATGTCACCCAGAGTCTGGTACAGGCAATAGTTATCTCTCGCCTCGACTATTCCAATGCCCTCCTAGCAGGTCTTCCAGCTTGTGTGGTGAAACCCCTACAAATGGTTCAGAACGTTGAATTGAATTGAATTGTTGATGTTTGTACGTTGTTACTCAAATGTAAGTTGCTTTGGATAAAATCCAACGAAGGTTAAAATCAAGGGCAACTGGACTTGGTTGAAGATACTGGAAGACGTTTCGTCCCTCATCCAAAGGACTTCTTCAGTTCTGACTGACTGGCAGGGAAACTCAGCTATTTAACCTCAGTGGGGTCGTTATCCCGGGTCATCGATACCGCTGGTTCGTTAGTGTTCCTTGTTGCTGTTGGTATCTTCACCTGAGGCCAATAGGTTACGTTTGTTGAGTTTCTTGGGAAGTGATGAAAGGACAGCATTGTAAGTGGGGGATAAGTGGTGGCGTAGACCCCCTCCCCTGTTCAATGACAGCTTCTCAACCCTGGTGTAGATGGCTTCCTTGACACCTCTTTCAAACCGCATTTTTAGACAGAGAAGATGGATGGTTGTCCAAATGTTACTTCTCTTCTTACTTCTAATAAACCAGAGGACTTCTCACTATTATTATTATTTCCTCTTCTTCTAATATGGACGCATTTAATGTAGTGACACGTGTCTACACTGCCGGAATTATACAAGCAGAAGAAGAACGCTGTGATGACGAAAAGCGCTCTGTAGCGCTGTTTCTCCATTGTTGGCTATTGTAGAAACATGACGACAAAATACTGCAACCTCCTATGCGACAATTCAGGGTTCATTATCTTGCCCAAGGACACTTCATCATGCAGCCTGGGGGAGCCAGGATTGAACCACCGACCATCCAATTAACGGCCAACCCGCTCTACTTTCTGAGCCACAGCGGTCATAAACAGCACTGAAACCAATCCAGTATGGTTAAGCGGTCACACATTTTATTATTATTGTCATTTATTTAAAATAGGTCACCCTGACGTTGCATGAAATTTTCTTTGAGCTCTTCAAAAGCCTCCAATATTTTTTTAAAAGCCTGCAGATCCTGACAAAAAAACCAAAATATTAAATAATAATTAAAGAAATAAAGAAATCTTGTTTCTTTCAATGCTGAATGTGCTACCTTTAATTAGTTTCTGCTTTTCCCATGTCACCTGTTTAACTTGACATTGACATTGATCTCTGTCATCTCTGTCAGCTGCCATCGCTGGTTCGTGGTTTTGAATCCCGCTGTTTTCTCTTCTCTCCCTTTGAACATGACGAAAGAGGAGGGAAGACTAAATCATGCCTACATGTGTTGCCTCAGCAGGGATGATATTACATGAGAAAGTCGTTGATCTACATGAGAAACAGACCTGAAAGCAACACAGAATGCCTGAGAGCTGGACTGTGTTATATTCTGTTATATTCATGTATTTTGAAATGTCACATGCTACCTGAATTTTGTGTTTCCTTTTACATAATTAAAAACATTTCCACCATAAATTGGTGCAGAAACTTTCACCAGAGTGCAGGAAATGAAGTGTTTAATGATCAGTTTCCCTAGGTGCGGTCCCCCAGACCCCTCGCTCATGTAACTTGGCATTGAAGATATCTTTTCAGGATCTTTTTGTCTCTCTGTACTGAGTCAATAAGGACTTCATTAAATTACAAAATTCAAATTCAAACTAGTTTGGTCTGCCACCTGGCTGTGTTCTTTCCGTACTGCATCTCCACTGTCCTCATGGTGTCTTTATATTGACACAGGGCCACAGGTAACACTGAATCATTCACTGATCAACAACTGTCATCTGTCAATCAGTCTCAGACTCTCACTCTGGTGTTGATGATTGAAAGTTGTCACTAACTGTCTCTAACACTGGCTGAACTGATCCAATGTGTTTTATAGATATAGCGGATCAGAGGTGGATTCATAGCCTCACCTCGGCACAGCTATATCATAAGAGAAGTTAATCTGTGAAGGTTTCAGAGTGACATATCTAAAACGACGTGTAAAATGTAAATCAATGTCCATTTGCAGAATAGACACACCGGCATCGTCTAATCCGTGGACTGACTAGATAGTCTGAATCTTTTTTCCCATGAAAGGCTGCAGTGCCTCTTTTGAGCTCCAAGTATACAAACACTGTGGTGGAAATTTCCATGAGTAGAATTAATCAAATAAATAAGTTACAACAAACAGTTGCCTTTGTGATATTTATTATAATAAAAAAAACAGAGAAGAACTCAAACAAACTCAGATACAAATGTATCTTTCATCCATAAAGTTTTAACTGAGCTCTAACTCTACATCACAGTAACAAATTTATGTCCACTGACTGCCTGGCGTGTAGCTAGTGTTTGGAAGGGAGAGGAGGAGTGTGCTCCATCTCAGTGTTTTTCCACTGCTGTTTTTGAGGGCGTGTCGGAGTAGTCGCTTGGCGAGCGTTATATGATGCACATTTTGCTTTCATCCATGTGTCGTCACAGAGATGAAAGCCAAAGGGAAGTGGCTGGACTGCAAATGAGCTGTTTTCGGGGAGTTCAGAGCAGAGTTTTCTGTGGGAGAACTCCCTTTGGGCTGGACTTTGGGCTTTTTCACTTTGCAAACCTGTTACATGCACAAAAAGTAACTCAATAGAGGAGAGGGAAAAAGACAAAAAGCATAATGCCACCTCTTTAACAAAAATTGAGAACATATACAGAGGGAGTCCAAACAAATCCAAAAAGCTAAAGGTACTATCCAAACAAAAAATCTAAATTTTGTGAAATTCATAAAGAAACCAAAATCCTAAAGCAGGCTTAAAGACAACGAAGATCCGGGTATACAACCAGACAGGGATACAGGCAGGAACAACTAACACACTCGACAGGGGAGTCAGAGGAACAACAAGCAACAATGATCCGACAAGACAGAACTGAACAGACAAACATTTATACACGGGCAAATGAGCACAACACCTGACACAGAACAGACCAAATAATCAAGCACAGGAGAACAGACCGATAGTAATCCATAAATCAATGAACTTACCTAACCATTACACAGACAGACTCAAAACAAGAATCTCAGAGTGGGCCAACGTAATACTAAGTACAAGAAAGAGAAGCAGACTAGGATTGTGACAAAGAAAGACGTTCTTAGCCTTGAAACACAAGTCGTCAAAGGCAAAAAAGAGTGGGCAAAAGATAAAACAAATGTTCATTATAGCTAAAACACGGGTAAGCTGATCTATACATATATATAATTATTATAATTATAAAGTAAATCACATGTACGATTATCAGAATGCATATAGGTAAATACAACTGAACTTTATATTTTGAATCAGGACTCTCAGTATTCGGATCAGGTATCTTGTGACAAATACGGTGTGATGAATTAAGTGTCTACAGCGATTATTACAATGTGTCAGAGGCATATTGACTCAACATTTAGTTAAATGCAAGTATTGTATCAAATCAGGACTGTGGTCAGAAAATCTTACCACAGGGTTCAGGTTTGGTGTTGTAGTAACACATTTTGAATAAAAGGAAGCTTTTTTAGACACACTTGTGTCTGTTCAGCTGAGTTGTCCAGGCAAAGTGTTTCTTACATTTAACACACCAGTACGGTTTACGTCCTGTGTGGACACGCTGATGCTCTGAGAGTTTGGATGATGAATAGAAACCTTTGTCACAGTGTTGACACTGGTGTGGTTTGACTCCAGCGTGGAAAAGCTTGTGTTTGTGATATGAAGATGAACTACTAAAACTCTTCCCACATGGCTCACAGCTGTATGGTTTCTCTCCAGTGTGGACACGCTCGTGTCTTTGGCATGTGTTTGATGAAGGGAATGTTTTCTCACAATGTTTGCACTTGTAGGGTTTTTCTCCAGTGTGGATACTTTCATGATACTTTAATGAACTGGAGAAAGTAAAGACTTTCCCACATTGCTGACAGGGGTAGGTTTTTTCTTTAGTGTGGATGTTTCTATGATTCTTGTAAGCAGACAGCTGAGTGAAACTCTTCCCACACTCCTCACAGCTGTATGGTTTTAGTCCAGTGTGGATTCGTTCATGTACCCTGCGATCTGTTGAAGAAATGAAAGCTTTCTCACAGTGCCTGCAGTTGTACGGTTTCTCTCCAGTGTGGATACGTTGGTGGATTGTTAGGCCTTCTAGTCGAGTGAAGGTTTTTCCACATTCATCACAGCGGTGTGATTTCTCTCCAGTGTGAATGATTTGGTGACTCTTGAGGTGACATGACCGAGAAAAAGTTTTCCCACACTGCTCACAGCTGAAGGGTTTCTCTCCACTATGGGTTTGTTGGTGGATTCTATAGTTACTTGACCTTGAAAAGGTTTTCCCACATTGCTCACAGCTGTATGGTTTCTCTCCAGTGTGAACTCTCTCATGAACCTTTAGGTCTCCCGCCGTCTTGAATGCTTTGTCACACTGCTTACAGCTATGAGGTTTCTCGTCAGTGTGATATCTTTTACAGTGACCTTGTAGATGCCCATGTGTTCTGAATCTATTGCCACACTCCTGGCAATGAAACGGTTTCTCTCCCGTGTGTACTCTCTTGTGAATTGTTAGATTTCCTGGAGAGGTGTATGTTTTCTCACACTGGTCACAGCTGTAGGGTCTCTCTCCAGTGTGAGTACGCTGGTGGCTTTTTAGATAATGGACGGTAGTGAAAGCTTTCTCACACTGGTCACAACTGTAGGGTCTCTCTCCAGAGTGAATTCTTTGATGAATCTTTAAACGATGTGAAGTAGGGAAGTCTTTCTCACATTGTTGACAGTGGTGAGATCTGCATTTTTTTGCACTTCTCTCTTTCTATAGAGACAGACAAAGTACAGAAATACAGAAAGAGTGAGAACATCAGTAAAGTGCAGTGTTGGACCGAAGATAAAATGTTATCTTTGGTTTCTACCTTAGCCCTGAGAGCTTAACCCAGTGCAACTTTAGCAACTTGTGAAAACAGACAAAACACATGCAGCATTTAGAAAACACTCATACATGCTGAACATAAAGACAACGACAATGGAAGTGTTTCCAGAGATCAAACTGGATGAATATCACTTAAGGGTTAATTGCATTATTACATTGCAGTTAAGGTATTACTTATGGATTATATTAATATATTAATATATTAATATTACACACATACAATTATGGATTAAAATAGATTATAAATTATATCAGTTAATAGCTATTTCACATTTGGGGCGTCCAGAATTGAGAGTTCACCTAAACTGCACATTTAGCACTTAAAATAAACTCGCACTTAAAAATAAAATGCTATTGTTTCTCATAGTTAATTGGATCAGCATTGTTATTCAAAAGGAATCACATTTAATCAATATTTTGTTAGGAGTGTGGTTTTTGTGTTCATGTCTTTCCTGTTTAAGTCTGTTTTAGGTTCTGTGTTTCTCTGTGTAGTCTTGTTCAGTTAGTTCCTGGTCCTTTACATTAGTTAATATCTTTTGTGTTTACTCCTGGTCTTGTGTTCCCGGTTTTGTCTTGTGTATTCCCTTGTTCATTTACTGGTTCTGTTTAGCCCGTACTTGTGCATTCTTGGCTATTCACCCATGTCTGCTTGTCTAAGTGTTCTCTCTGTTACCCCCTGTTGTGCCTGCCTGCATCTCTTTTTTCCTGCTGTCTCTCTGCCTCCCTCGTTAGCCTCATGTCTGTCATCTGTGTTGCTCCCGCCCTGCTCGTTAATCCGTGTGTGTATATATATACCTGGTGTTTCTGTCTTGTCTTTGTCCGGTCATTGTTCGTGTTACCCCCCCAGTCTGTCGTCTGTGTACTCTCTGCCTTCCTGTAACCAGTCTTGCTTGTCTTGTCACCCTGTACCTCTGGATTTTGGATTTCTGTTTGGAACTACCTTTGTTTTGGATTCTGTATCAGCCACTCAATCAGTAAGTGTGCTCGCCTTTTGTTTGTTTAATTAAACCACTGAACTATACCTGCTCCGCTCTGTGTCCTGCGTTTGGGTCTTCCAACCTGCCTCCACACCACTAACCGTAACATATTTGTAATGATACGTGTCATTCAGGGTAAAACATTGTCATACAGTATAGCACCAGTTTTTTTATTTTAAAATAAAATAACTTTGTTTTATTGACTCAGAGAGACAGTGTAAGACAGAAAATAGTTGTAAAAGGTTTTTTGAGATGTATCCATGATGCATCAAATATGCGGTATTCAAAATTAAAAACACAATACTTGGTAGCTGTATTTCTGCCATTCTAAGCATGGAAATAAAACATTGTGATTATGTAAAATGGAGTTAAAATTATTATGTCTTTAAAAAGGGGCATTATGGAGTTTTCAGTGGCCACTAGCGGTGCAGTTTTAAGATTGCTACCAGGCGTGTGCTCGTACGTGTGCTCGCTTGAACTCATGAGCGAGCAGAATCGGAAACACAACCACTTTCATACAGAAATCCCACAATAAACGCTGCTTTATTTGCTGCCTTTTGAAATGCTATTATTGTGAGCCAGGTTCAGGTGTGAAGATGTTTCAGAGACTGATGAAGACTGAACATAGTGTGGTTAAGCATACAACATGTGAACACATCAAATGCCAACACCAAATCTGAAGGACAACATCTTGTGGTCCCTTTTATGTTTCTGTCTTCCCCCTAGTGCCTGTAGGTTTCTCTATTAGGTCACCTTTCACCTATAACACCTAATCTATCTGATGTTTATTCTCCAATGTTTTGTCATATTGGACGTCTGAGCTACTGTCTCTAACTAATCAGTCTGTTGTTGTCATCTTGACCAGGACAAGTACATCTGAGAAAGCCATAAATGTCAGATAAACACTTAGGGGTCAGCTAAATTACTCTAAGCTAGACCTGTCTTACCTTTCCTTGTTACATCAACAAAGCCCCTTAAGAAATAATCTCAACACTTCTCCCTGATAAAAGAAAAATGTTTCTGTTGATACCTGTTCAGAAAGAAAAAACAGATTTAAATATGTTAACTTGTTGCTCAGAAAGTGCCTTTTATGATGTTATGATCGTGGCTCTGGACTCTTAACTTGTTTTAACAAACTAGATAAAAGGTAATGACCTGGCTGTGGCAAATATCTTTGGTTTAATATTTGATTTGATTACATTAATGTTTAAGTTGAGATTTACAAGAAATATTTTATTGCTTATTGCTGGTGATCCTCAGCTTCCTTCTTCATCTCCAGCCGGTCTGCCCTTACCCCAACCCCCCGATCCTTTATAATCCATACATTCAACATTTGCATAAACCTTCAAATTACGTATAGTTGTGGCGTGGTCCTCGCTAGTGAAAACAGTGTGCTCTGCCCTTCGTGAATTTCCACAAAGCCAAGTGTGGCTGAGATGGCCAAGGCCACTTCTTCTCCTGTTCTGCTTCTATCTATGAAATACATAGCTGTAGCTCATGAAATGACAGCCTGCTTATCAACAGACGTTTAAACAATCGGCATAACGGGACCTTCGGGAAGCTTTGATTATTCGCTGTTAATTACTATCCAAGTTTCGAAGCTCAAAAAATGACATGCGGGCCAGCCCATACCCTCAAATAGATAGAAAGCGATTTCCAAGCTGTCAAGGATGCTGCTGACAGTTTAAGGAGCAGGGTGAGGAAACAGACATTGAAGTGGAGGCTGCACTGGCTCAGAAAAGAATGAAGAAGAAAACCATGCCAGGAGAGATGCCTCAGGATGAGACCATGGTTGATCCAGAAAAGGCCTGTGAGGTAAAGGTCCAAAATCAAGTTGTTGATACAGCTATTAAGGCCATCTACATAAGATTTCTGACCCACAAGACACTTTATGCAGATTTATAATTTCTGCACCCCAAAAACTTCCCCCTCATCCGAACCAGTGCTTTCCCAGTATCTGCACTTGAAGAGCTCAGCAAGTGCCTGATTAAATGTGATAGCAGGGCAACTGTTGACAACCTGCAGTTGGACACTGCAGACCAAGTGGGGCAAGCTGAAACTTTCACCACTTGATGAATATGCAACCAGAACAGTGGACGAGGGGCCGTATGGAAAGGAAGAGGACATGGAAATTGTCAACAAAAGCTGTGCTTCTTGCAAAGATTGCCCTCTGTGTGATCATGTAACTAAATATTCCATTGACCTTCTATCTTAGGGTGCCCTCACTTGTGTGGTTCATTATTAATTTTTATTGAAGATGTTCATTGGGTCATGGAGCCTTTTCCACTAAGTAAGTTTACCATACATGCAACTATCTCTCTACATTGTCGTAGTTTGAAGACACCAGCACTGTGATCATGTGATTTTCATGTATCAGTCTCACCTCTCTCTCTCTGGAACTCATTGTCTTACTTTTAGGTTTCTCCCCTTTGAAGATTTGCTTTTAATTGGAAGTTGAAAGTTCACACACATTCTTTATATTTCATGGTGAGTTTAAAATATACACAACTCTGTTTACAATTTCAAGAAGATACACAAACCATAAATTAAATATTCATTATATAATTATAATTATATAATATTTTATATAATATTATATTTCTTTATATTTTATTACTCTTATCTTTGAATATAATGCGTTATGATGATACTATGAGCTAACTGGCAGTATGGCACATTAGGACATATTTTGACAAAATAGAAAAATTGGAGTTAATAAATTGGAAGAATTAAAGATCGATCATAAATGAATCATAAATGAATAATAAAGTATTTGAAGTCTAGATATAAACTGGAAATATGTTTTAATAGCCTATTGTTGTTTTACCATTCAAATCAGTGAAATGAAGATGACATTTAGCCCTCCTACTTTTTCTCCATAAAATACATTAAATAAAGTGATATTCTAGTGGGACACAATTAACATAGGAGGTTACAATTTCCATTCTTGGGGAATAATTTAATGTGCACACACACAGGGCTGTTGTTTAGGCTTGTGTCAGTGATGTGTCTACAGTGTCCCATACATTTAAGAAGAGTAAGACTGCTGAAGTGTGTCTGCTTTATTGACACATCTCAACTATCAAGACCTGCTCTAAGTATTAAACCACAGGAAAATGTTGTGCTTTGTTCTACCTCAGGCATCTTCAGAACCAAAGCCTTTCAGGGGGTTTGTTGTTCCTTTAATGGGTTTAAATGTATAGATTTGTAAGTTCTCAGTATGATGTTGCTCATGTACTTTTGGTTACTACTATGGTATTTTTTTAGGTCAGCTACTTTTTCTCCTGTTGCTCTGGCATCAGCCCCTCAAGTGCCCGTAACATACTTTGTACTGCAGAGGGAGCAATCACCTTTTTAATGTTGGATAATCTGTTTTAACAACTATGCATATATGTTATTTCTACACAAACCAAAGAGGAAAAGAAAGAAAACCAAATCAAAATGTAGAAAGCTTAAAATGAAAAAAGAAAAAAAGAAATGAAAAGTAAGTGATTCAACCTTTTTTGGAGAACTCATGCTTCTTCCTCAGACAGCCGGCCTGAATTCAGACAAAATGGTGACTGCTGTACGTCTTCTTGTGAGAAGTGTCTTGTTTCACCACCGAGCTGTGAATATAGACATGATGAGACAGGAAACATAACTGTCACACTGTTACATTACAGCTGAGAAAAAACATCTGTTATTTAAAGTGTTAGAAGTTTTGAAACTGAAATGTATTCATTTCAATAATAAAACAAACTGTTTCAGATAAAATAACTCTAGAGTTTTAATGCTGATATCTGTAATTGGAAGCTGTAAGACTTTTCCACGCTCCAGTTTCTGCTGCCATTGTTCAGCTGCACCGCATTGAAGGCCTTCTCATTTTTCTCTACCTGTGCCTCCACGCCTGCTCAATCCTCCGCCTGTGACACAGAAATGTAAGGAGATCTCAATTAAAATAAAATGCAGCACGAGGAGCGAGGAGAGAACATCAAACATTGAGGAGGCTTGTCGGAAGAGCTATAAGCGAGGACACCTTTGTATCCTTTGAAAAAGTATTTCAGCAGCCTTGATGTTTAAATGAGTCATGACATGCAGATGGAATATGCAACCATGGCGGGAGCAGTACAGCGTTCTTTAGTATTCATCAAGAGAGACGCTGCACACAATAATGCAAGAGGTAAGCAGCATAACCTTACCACGATGTTTGCTGTGACATTACTGCATGCATTAAAACATGTGTGAATCGACAAAGCTGTCGATTCACACGTTTCAACTACCAACTGAACTAACTGATTCAACGGAGTGGATCCCACCTTTCAGAGGGGAAGAAAGTGAAGTTTTATTAATTTTGTTCTGGGTTTTTGAATCAGTACATTTTATTGTTTATATCCTTATATTTCTTATATTCTCATTTTTGTTATATTTTTACATAATCACCTTCTCTGCAAGTACTGCTAGGGTTACATGAAATGTTTGTATTCCTATGTTTGGTTAGCATAAAATGCTAAAAGGGAGTAAATGTGATGGGAATTCCAAACATATTGCATGTAACCCTGGACTCAGGGAGACTCGTCCGTGATGTGGCACTGAATCTGTGTAACAGTCAAAATATCTCTGTTCTCTGTGTTATCCAGACTTCAGGGACAACGTGTGTCTGAGGGATGATATGATTGACCCTAAAGCTTGATAAATAACAGGCTCACTCAGCAGTCCTCACTTATTCGAACATACTGTGAGTCCTTCTGCAGAAGATTTGAATAAAATTCACAGAAAGACGAGCTATTTATTTGAAAACTCGAATTGCCATCACAGCATCACAATAAGGAAATCTCCTGGAAAGCTACTGTGACCGGTGGAGGTGGGACGATATGATCTGTAGCCTGTATGTATCTCATCTCATTTCATTAAATGCCTGTTGCCTCGACCGCTCGCATCTTTGGTGGGAGGGGCTACAACGCATGCGAGGAGTCGAGGAGGTACAAACTGAGAAATGAGAAAGGCCTAAAAAGAGTGAATGACAGGAAGTAAAAGTCAGAGCAGCAGCGGGAGAAGAAACCGACCATTTTAGAGTCACTTCCTCGACAAGACAAAGTTTCATGAAAAACCTTTTATCATGTCAAAACTCTTTAAAGAACTTCTATCCAAACACTGCAAAGTTAAATCAAATGACTAAATGTTTTTTTTACTGAACTTTGAAGGTTGAATGATTATGTCTTTCAATTTAATGACAACTTTCATGATGCTTTGATGACAATCATGTCAACACTATTTATTTTAAGGGATATTTTATAGGTTTATTTCAATATAAGTTCAGTTTTATTCCTAAGGTAGTTAGACCTGCATGAAGATTAAAATTTTGCAAATAGAGATAAAGCAAACAGCTGTTTGAGACAGAGAGAGTAAAATCTTGGCCTGATAATGTTTGATTAAATCTAACAGGATGTAAATATTTCGGTATAAACTACTGAGGCTGCTGGAAACTTTCTGTCTTCTGCTCTGAAACTCTTTTCAGACACATAACTCATCTCCAGCATCCTGTTAACAGCGACATTGAAACAAAGTCAACAAATTGTCTCACCGCTTCTTGTTGAATCCAAAATACTTCCACACTTCTCAGGCGCTTTGATGTCGTGATCTTCAAGTTCAGCTCAGATTTCATCCAGGGGCTTCAGCAAAGAGAGGTCAGACCTCAGAGCTGCAGGAATCACAATGTGACTCAGCTGAGAGAGATAGAGAGATAGAGAGAGCGAAAACACACTTCCCTCCTCCTCTTAACTCGTCACATATAGACATTGGTAATGGGCGGGCTGGGTCAACAAAAAGGCAGAAGAATGTGTCATGTGGCTGTGGGTATGCAGGAATAAAGTTCTCTTTATGTTTTTATGCAACTACTGTACATCCCAAAATGAGCCATGTAATGGAAATTAACCGTTCTGGAGATGTAAAATAAAGTTGGTCCTGAACACAGAGTTGTCTTTGTCGTATTTATTCTGAAGCTTCAGAGGTACAAATCATACAGAGTACAGAGCAGTCTGCAGGAGAGTGTGTGTTTTATACAGGAGTGTGGTTGTTTACAGCATCTGTTGCTGTGCAGAAAAATTATTGTGAGCGGAAGTTACTGGAATAATGAAATGAGTTGAAAACAGGAACTTTGTCTGATGCCTGTTAGGCCAGATAGACAGGACGTGAGTCATTAGCATATATGAGAATAGATGAGGGTGAAGAAGTGAAAGCAGCTGAACTGACGGTGAGCCGCAGTGAAGTACACAATGTTCTTGATACATACATCAAACAGTATAAGAATCATACAATAATGCAATAAGATATATATATAAAAAAAGGCATGTATCTATCTACAGAGACTTGACACATTTGCTACAACACAATAATGTACTGTATACTGTATAAACCATATAATCAACATGACTGAAAAGCTTTGTGGTTCTTTATATTTTTACATGATTATTACTGAGCTACATGAGCTTTACATAGCAGATAAATAGTAAAGTAAAAGTTGTAAAGTAAAAACTTGAGAGTTACGTGCTATATGATGAATAACTGGTGTAACAAACAGGATAATGTAGAGTACTTTTATCTCTTTAAACCGTTTGACTCATTCACTTATATGATTGGGTGTCCTGCTCTGTTTCATTTCTTGAACTATAATTTTTATGAATGGATCAGAGATTTTCTTTAATGTATTTCACAGCTTTTATATTTCCGACGATGCAACTCCGACTCCGTTTAGGGCTGGAAATTCACAATCACAACCTGTAAGTATGCTTTATTGGTTGTGAATTATATTTAAAATAAACACGGCAATGTAACTTCACAGACTGTTCAAGTGCGAAGTTGTTGTAAACGCTGACTAACACAGCTAAAGTTATAGCTATAATGCTAATGTGACCTAAAACCTGATGTGAAAGCTTCTGAGCAAACGTTCAAATTGTTTGGCCAATTTTTATGTAAAATTTAGTTGAAATATGGTGATTTTTGTATTTTTATGTTAAGATGTGGAACAATGATGTTGTGTGGTTGTGGACTTTGAGTAACTTATACCATCTGCTAGGTTACGGTCGCAGTCTGAAGCGGCTTTGATTTGGATCTCACTACTTTGTTTCTTACGACCCGCCCTTCTCTGCTTCTGATTGGCTAGTAGTCCTTACCTGGGAACTGCACATGTGCAACTCCCAACAAAGATTTTGTACAAGTAAGATGCATCACTCTGTAGCTCAAGAGCAGAGCGTACAACACACAGGGTGAAAAGAGGAGCTGCAGCAATGTGCAGTATGAGAAAATCTTTATTAATATTATGTTTTTTGAAAATTAAACCATGTGAACCTGTTCTGGTACAAACCCCTAATTAAGATTTTGAACCTGAAAATGAGCACAATACCACCTCTTTAAGAAAATTACAAAATTTGTTTGAAATTACATATTAAGAAGGAAACTGTCAATCATTTTAAATAAAAAACAAGAATAACATAAATAATTTAAATGTATATCGACGTGTTTCATCTGTCAGTAGGGACGAATGAAACAACGCGCACCGTCCATTCAAAGTCCAATTATACCGAAGTCGTTCCACATTTTTACAAGATAATACCTGGTATTGATAGAGCACACACGTGAGTTGTTGATCACAACAACAAATGATTTCTGTCTGTAACATTATCTTTAAAAATGTTACAGACAGAAAAAGTGTTTCAATCGTTCCGGCTCTCCCCCTACTCAAATATTGTCATTAAATCAATCAATCCAGCATGTTCTATGAGAATATTAAACAACCTCCCAAAAACGTGTGCTTAAGGTTTCATTTTATTACTTATTTATCTATAGCACTATTTATTAGTGTAATCTTGTTACATATATGACTCGTGACTCCTCCTGAAGACTGTTGAGTGTCTGCAGTGACAGGAAGCAGCCAGAAGGTGGAAGCACATCAGCATCATCGTGGACTTGTGTTTAGTCCGTGGGGATCTACTTTATTTAATTTGCCATTAAATACATTTATTTCAGTTTTTATCTCTACAGTAGAGTTCTGTGTTCATTCACAGCACTGAAGGTAAATAAAAACCTGGTTTTAAGCTGTTTGTCAGCTTTATTTCCTGTTTGTGTGTTTTTTGTTGCAGTTAAAGAATTGTATTATCATTATTATTATATGTATCACATGAAGGACTTTAAGAGGTTGTTTCTCTGTTGAACAGACTTTGTTTCTCTTCTCATGAAATGAAAGTGGAAAAACTGCGGTCACACCTGGCAACTCAAACCCCCCAGAGACTCTTCACGTTGAACTCTGCCAATCTCATTCACTGCTTTCATCCCCTTTAAACACTGGTCTCCTTTGTGCTGCTCTGCTTTGTGACATGGTGCATTATCCTGCTGGAAGTAGCCATCAGAGGATGGTACACTGTGGTCATAAAGGGATGGACATGGTCAGCAACAACACTCAGGTAGGCTGTCAGGTTTCAACGATGCTCAGTTGGTACTAAGGGGCCCAAAACGTGCCAAGAAAATATCCCCCACACCATCACACCAGCAGCAGCAGCCTGAACCGTTAATTCAAGGCAGGATGGATCCATTTTCATTGTTCAACAATTCATGTTGTTTATACCAAATTCTGACCCAACCATCTGAATGTCGCAGCTGAAATCGAGAGTCATCAGACCAGGAAACGTTTTTCCTTCTTCTGCTTCTTCTGCTGGTGAGCCTGTACGAACTGTAGCCTCAGTTTCCTGTTCTCAGCTGACAGGAGGGGCATCCGGTGTGGTTTTCTGCAGCTGTAGCACATCTGCTGCAAGGTTTGCCGTGTTGTGCGTTCAGAGATGGTGTTCTGCATATCTCGGTTGTAACAAGTGGTTATTTGAGTTACTGTTGCCTTTCTGTCATTTCGAACCAGTCTGCCCATTCTCCTCTGACATCAACAAGACATTTTCATCCACACAGCTGCCGCTCACTGGATATTTTCTCTTTTTCGGACCATTCTCTGTAAACCCTAGAGACGGTTGTGGTGAAAATCCCAGTAGATCAGCAGTTTCTGAAATACTCAGACCAGCCTGTCTGGCACCAACAACCATGCCACGTTTAAAGTCACTTAAACCCCCTTTCTTCCCCATTCTGTTGCTCTGCTTGAACTTCAGCAAGTTGTCTTGACCACGTCTACATGCTGATCAATAAAGTTTCACTTACTGAAAAGTTGGAGGATTCAAATACCAATTTTTCATGAAGCATCAATTGTGTGTGTTTTCTAAACCTCCCTTTCTAAACCACATGATGTGCTGCCTGTGCAGCTGGTATTTCAGATGAGATTAGACGTGTTGCAACAAGCTCCACAGCTTCTGATAAACAACTTTTAGACTCTACAGAAAGACTGAACATGAATCCAGCTCACCTACATAATTAACGATGACTTCATTAAAAAGAGAAAACTTATTTAAATGCAAATAAAACTATTATTAAGCTTCTACAGGTAATGTGAAGTGCTGAAAATGAAACCTGCAACATACAGAAAGAAATCGGAGCGACAAATACAAAGACTGGACACATCTGATACAAGATAATCATTCTAATCAACATAATTATCAGTTGATTGTCAGATTGTTCATTATTTTATTGTATTATTTGATATTGTTATCATATAATAACAATAATATAATTTTCTATGAGAATAAAGTGCTTAATAAACATAAATGTTTATAATGTACACTGTGAAAAACTGTTTTTAACCTGCTAGCCTGCTGTAGCTCCTGAAGATTATGTTCAACTTTGACCGAAAAAAAATTATATCTATGCAAACGATGCTGTTTTATATTGTGTTGGTGATGTTGTTGAAACTCTCAATGTCCTTTGATGCCATGCAAGAACACAGATGATGAGCTGACATAAAACTCCAATATGTTGTCACTTCATACATTATTACTGTAAAAATATGCATTATAGGCATTTAAAGAAGAAAGAAAAAAGAAGAAAGTTCAGTTTCACCTAAACATTTCAGCATACACAGTAGATAATAAGTTTATGCATTATATACATTTTTTCATTATATAATAATAATAATAATAATCCTTATTTGTAGAGCACTTTTCAAAAACAAGTTACAAAGTGCTTTAACAAGTGTAAAGAATAATACAAAAAAACAAGATAAGAGCATGAAAAATTAATATAAAATTAGTAAAATAAAATAAAAGGGATAAAATAAAGTCAAATAAGATCGGGAAAAGCTCTCCTATAAAAGTATGTTTTAAGAAGGGACTTAAAAGAGTTCACTGACTCAGCCGACCTGATTTCCTCGGGCAGGCTGTTCCAGAGCCTCGGGGCCCTGACAGCAAACGCTCTGTCCCCTTTAGTTTTCAGTCGAGACTCTGGAACAGACAACAGACCTCTGCCAGAGGATCTCAAGGTACGTGCTGGTGCGTATGGGACTAAAAGTTCAGAAATATAACAAGGCGAGAGGCCATGAAGAGCTTTAAAAGTGATCAATAGAATTTTTATCTGAGCATGATGACTTGGCTGAATACAAACGGCTGCTACAGAGGACATTAAAACCAGAGAAGAAGTTACATTTTGTCCTTTTGATATGAATCTTAATGCATTTACACTAATTATTAACTGTTCAGGTCACCAGGTCACCCGACTTTTCAGGAGGAGATTCATATGAACAATGTTCTGATGAGTACTTACGTTTTCTACAGACACAAACAACAACAACAAC